AGTTGATTGTTTCCAGCCGTGTGCGATGCCCCCCTTCATCATAATCCACCTCGGTCATATCGTAGCGGTGCTTAAGCGAAGCTCTGTTCCGGTAGCATCATCATCACCATCATCACGCCATCATGCTGACGAAACTCTCGCTCGACACTCTGCTGGATCGTGAGTTCGTGGGACGTCACTGAGCCGAACGTGTGCAGACCGCGGAGGTGTCGTACTTTCGGTACTAGGATCGGTCAATCGTGAAGACATATGACTACATCAACCGCGTTGTCATAACACTTCCGCTTACGGTCTACGAGGGTACGTGGACAACACTCTTCCCCTCTCGTTGCTATGCATCACCATGATCTTGCGTGTGCGTAGGAATTTTTTTGAAATTACTGCGTTTCCCAACAAGGATATATTAGCCTACCTTGAAAACTAAGTTACCTACAATACTATGAACTTAGAGGCGAAGCTAGTTATGATAGATTACTTGCTAGTTATGGTAGAAAACTTAAAGGGTGAAGCTAGTTAACTTGGTAGTCATGGTAGTCAACTTCAAAGGGTTTTTTGTTGATAGGTGATCATACTACGCATACTAATAAGAAGTTGCTTTCTTATAACACTAAAGTTGCCTCCGCAGCATCCAAAGTTGGTTTTAAAAAGTTTGTCGAAACGTACCTATATGGGATCTAGTTTTGAAGAACTCATCATGACAAACATAATGGTGAACACAGATTTGAAATTCGACGCTCGAGTCAAAAGTTACGGATTTTAGAAAATTTTTAAGCTTCAAATAAATGCATGCACGTGGGATCTTGCTGAATAACGGGACGGAGGGAAAAGTGAAGACGCGAGGGGACCAGCCGACCAGGTGCTTTTTCTCTTTTGTCAGATCTCGTCTTCTGAAACGTATGGGACTAGTAGCAATGCAATCACATTAAGAATACTGGGATCGAACGGCTTGAATGGGTGCGCTCGCTGCAACCAAATAGCGCAGCTGCACTAACACACATTTAGGATATATATTTGGTTTTGTAGATGTTAATATTTTTTTAATATAAAATTGGTCGAACTTTGCATAGTTTGACTTGTGACAAATCTAATACTCAAAGTAAAAATGACCGGAGGGAGTATTACCACCGCCATAAAAAGCGTGTCTTAAATTTGTCTACCATATTTTGGGACAGAGTATAAAACATTTTGAATCTTAACTAGAATACCCATGACATGAAATCTTTTTTTAGAAACGGGAGTAAAGTTTGTCTCATCTCATTAATTAAGAAGAAGAATGACAAGGTTCGAGAGTTTCATGACCACAAATGTCAATACACAAGGGGATCACTCTCCCAAAAATATTTAGCCCCAACAATGATCCAAATCTTCGCCTCAACGTTGATCGAGAAAATCATGTGGGTTGGTAAAGATGACTTGTTTCGAAAAACTCTCGCATTTCTTTGTTCCAGATTGGCCAACAAACGCGTGGGGTTGTGAGGGACCTGTCTGGCGGCCTTGTTTGCGTGTGCCCGGATGGTGGATGTTGTCGGGGTTGCTGCGCCTCCTGGTATCCTTTCATCTGCTTGCATGCATTGACGGGTGTGCGAGGTGCCGTCTTGCCCGGTTTATTTGTGTCTCTTTGATCCTTTGGTAGTTCGGTGATGCTGGGTCTACCGCGGCGCTTGTGCGTGTCATGCACCCGGTCGATATTGTTCGCCGCCATATGCAACGTCACGCCGCTGCTTTTGCGGTGATTTGGACGTTTGCGCGTCATATGTTGGGTCGGTATAATGCACGTTTCCTTCTCGTGTGTAGTTCGACGCCATGTAGCCCCGCAACGCTTCGCTGCATTTTCTGCGAAATAGGTCCGTTATATGCTGTGTCAGTGCAACAATTGTTTGTGTTTGATGTATTGTACGCTGCATTCAACGTCGCATCATTGCATTTGCGGTGCGTGAGAAGTGGGTGTGTCGGTCGCTTGCTTGGGCCCGCCACACAAGCATCGTAGCCCACCAATCAGGCCCAACCAAAGGACAACACAAACTTATACTCTCTTTATTTCACAATGTAGTGCTTCCTTTATCCACGTGTTTCAACTTTGACCGTCAATTTAACTATGAAGACCGATTGCGGCGGGAGCAAAAATTATATCAATGAATTCGTATTCGAAAGAAGTTTTCAATTATATAATTTTTTCTCCCGCCGCAGTTGGTCTCATTGGTTAAATTTACGGTCAAAGTTGGATCTCGAAAAGCGCAGACGCACTATATTTTGGAATGAAGGGAGTACCAGGGTTTGGGCCCTCTCCTCCCAAAATACTAGCCAGATTAGAGAAGACATCCTCATCCTTGTAAGTTGTGCTCTATCTCCTTCTACAACTGATGTGTGACTAAAACTCACAAATCTCTCTGTGACACATTGATCACCATGGGCCGCTAACACATTGATCACCCACGAATCATGACCAACCACCTATGAGTCCATCGAGATTTATTTACTACTCCCTCCGTCCGGGTTTATTGGGCCCGGAGACAGGATTGGCAAGACCAAGGAACGTAGTACTCCCTCCGGTCCTTTTTACTCTGCACATTGGATTTGCCGAAAGTCAAACTTTGCTAAGTTTGACCAAATTTATATTAGAAATTATTAGCATCTATAATATCTAATAAATATAATATGAAAATATAATCCAAGATGAATCTAATGATATTAGTGTTGTTATGTGGATGTCTATAATTTTTTATATAAACTTGGTCAAAGTTGGATGAGATTGACTTCAGACAAACCTAATATGCAGAGTAAAAAGAATCGAAAGGAGTAACTGGCCTTGATTAAGGTGGAAATTTCTGGTGTTTAAATGTGGTGTGCATTTCGGGAGCCACGTAATTTAATGTGCACTCTAGGTAATCCATCCAGTAGCCCAGAGTTCAAGCGCATGCTGATGCATGGCCGCTAGCATGGCCAATCTGAAGACCAGGAGAAGCCCATGGGTCCGCTTAGGCAGTGGCGAATCTAGAAAAAATTGGAGGACGGGCTGGGCTGCCTGGGTCATGTAAATATGTGTTGGATTGGGCCTACAAGTAGCTAGGCTGGGCCTTAAAATTAGTAGTAGA